TGTTGGTCAACGTGACCGATAGGGACCTTCCGGTACACTTATGTTGGTATACTGTTTGAGTTTTAAATTGATATGTGATATCTTTCTTACAAATGTTGTTTTATGTTGTTTTATTCAATGAACTTTCTCTCTTAGAAATCTTGTTCTTCATTTTCAAGTTATGTGTTTATTTTAATATATTCACTTATAAATGTGATCGCAAATCTTATAGTTTTCTTATAGATAAATTAAATCTAACAAATTTTATACAAAATTCAAATCGTCTAACAAAATTGAAAATAGTATTTATTTTAAAATAATCAATTTATAAATTAATTCAAATATATAAGATAAATAATAAAGTGCCAAAATAAATCTATTCTAAATGATAAGACGAAAGGAAAACAATAATTTATCCATTAATTAAACCTTATACATTATCGGTGAGACTGAAATGAGATTTATTTCCGAAAATACCCTTTGCGATTGAGTTTTATGAAGGGTTTATGGCAGAATGCAGAATGGATAGAAGAAATGGATGCGATTCTGAACGTGGCAATCCGTTTACCCATATTTTCCCCACCCATTGACCCGAACCCGACCCGAAACCGTGCTTCCACGGAACTCCGTTTCTCGCGCTGGAACAACGCCAACGCCGAGAAGTTCAACCGCCGCCGCCGAACTATCCAGGAAATCGAAGACGAAATCTGCCGCACTCGCCGCTACACCGCCGCCGATAACATCACCAACATCACCGCCGCCGCCACCTCTGTTGAAACGTTCAAATCCCTCGGAACCCCCTCCGCTCCGTCGCGCCCTTCCATCCCGGGGAAGAAATCGAAGTACTGCAAGCCGCCGCCGAAGCCGAAACCCTTGCTCGATTCGCACCCCGTCGTTTCGCGCGCCGCGAGCCTCGAGTTCCGGCCGGGGCCGGAGAACGTGAAAATCGGCGACGACGGAGCGTCCTACATCGTCGACGGCGCGCCGTTTGAGTTCAAGTACAGTTACACGGAGACTCCGGCTGCGAAGCCGGTGAAGTTGCGCGAGCCGCCGTTTGCGCCCTTCGGACCGGCCACCATGCCGCGGCCGTGGACCGGGAAGAACCCGGTGCCGCCGAGCAAGACGACTGTGACGGATTTTCAGACGCTGGTTCTGCCTGAACCGGAGGAGGAAGGCGTTGAACCGGTTCGGTTGTCCGGTCCGGTTTGGGAGTCGAGAGAGGAGGTATTGGGAGAACCGTTGACTAAGGATGAGATCAATCGGTTGGTTAAGGGCACAGAGAAATCCACGCGCCAGCTAAATATTGGTATTTTCTCTCTTTTTTTTTTTTTGACTTTTTTGTTTTAAATTTTGTAATATGTTCAAAATTTTCATATTAATTTAGTGTTTCTACTTTTCTGATAAATAGGATAATGTGATTGTTATCGGTGCGTACTCATGGGGGCTTGTGTTTTTCATTATTATTTTGTAGTTTATATTGCTTTGATAAAAAAAATTAAAAAAAAAAGGTTAAATTATTATGCTGTTAGAATAGTGGATTAAGCCTAACTCAACCCTACAAAACCGGCTTGTAAGGTAAGGGTTGCTTTCCACTTATATATTATTCAATTGCCTAATCTCTAGTCGATGTGGGACTTGGGTTTTTCCCAATACACCCCCTCACGTCCAGCACTATTGGGCTTGGTACGTGGATAAATGGTGGGTGACCCTTTTTAATGATCTAGGATTGGCGGGACTTAGGTTTTTCCCAATACACCCCCTCATGCCTATGAGACATGCATCAATGGTGGGTGGCCCATTTTTAAAGTGGATCTAAATGGTTCTGATACCATCTTAGAATAGTGGATTAAGCCTAACTCAACCCTACAAAACTGGCTTGTAAGGTAAGGGTTGCTTTCCACTTATATATTATTCAATTGCCTAATCTCTAGTCGATGTGGGACTTGGGTTTTTCCCAATACAGACTATTTGAAACTTTTTAAAAAAGGTTTTTAATCTTAAAAAATAGGTCTTGGGTGACATGAACTTTAGTTTAGGGTGACTTAAAATTGCTAGAAAATGACAATGACAATTGGTGGCTGTTTTACTCGATTTTTTTATATGATCAAGGACTCAACTTTTAAAAAAATTAATTTAACTCAATTTTTGATTCAAAATCAGTTCCTTCTAAACATGCAAAATACAAACATTTATTTAAACATATATAGTGTTGTTCTCCACGAGTTTCTTCTGAACTTGGTAACTTTACATTAAGCATTGATATTGAAACTCTATTTTTAATTATAGAAAAATACTAAAATCATTTTAAAATTGGATCTTAGTTTTGTCCTAATAGCGGTAGGAAGTAACCTTGTGGGATTGATTTAACATTGATTGAGGATTGGTAGATAGTGGATGTTGGATGAGTGTAGACACCACTTCTAAGTTGTATTCGTATGCATTTATCTGGTTATTAATGGAAACTTCACTTTTGTCCATGCACTCAAATTTTTTGTTTTAGGTAGGGATGGGTTGACACATAACATGTTGGAAAATATACATACTTATTGGATGCGGCGGAGAGTGTGCAAGATAAAGTGCAGAGGTGTGTGTACTGTTGACATGGATAACGTGTGCCAGCAGTTAGAGGTTTGTTTCTTCTGCCTCCAATTTCTCATCATTTACTATTTTGCTTGCTGCTCTTCCAATTTATCATCATGAGTATAAACGTGTGTATTTTTTAGCAGGTTTGGAAATAAGGAACTCATTTTGTGTCTTATGTTGTCTGGTTTTCCCAGGAAAGAACTGGGGGGAAAATCATTTACAGACAGGGTGGTACAGTGTACCTTTTCCGGGGCAGAAACTACAACTACAAAACACGTCCACGTTTTCCTCTTATGCGGTGGAAGCCGGTGACTCCAGTATATCCTAGGTTGATTAAACGAGTTCCAGAAGGTCTAACACTAGAAAAAGCAATTGAGATGCGTCAAAAGGGAAGGAACTTGATGCCCATACGTAAGCTAGGTATATTCTTTTGGACATTCATCACAAGAAAGGGAAATTGTTGTTCCTTTTTCTGCCAAACTGACATATGCCTATATCGTTCTTTTCTTATAGTAAAAAATGGCGTTTACTGGGACCTTGTTACTAATGTCAGAGAGGCATTTGAAGAGTGTGAGCTTGTGCAAATAAATTGCCAAGGACTTGAGACAAGTGACTATCGAAGGATTGGAGCAAAACTAAAGGTACAACTTAGTTCACTCTCTTAAACTTTGCATAGGATTGACTTATGTAACGTGAATTTTATTAATGATGCCATAAGTATGTGTTTTTTGACATTAGGATCTTGTTCCATGCGTATTGCTTTCATTTGAAAATGATCACATACTTATGTGGAGGGGACAAAATTGGAGGTCCTCTTTACCAGATCCCAGAGATGATGACAAGGAAGCCAATAAAATTAATGTTGACAATGGAAATACCAAGCTACTGCCTTCAGATGACCAAGAATTTTCAGCACCGTGTCTACAGAATAGTCCAGTAGAGAATCTAAGCAATGAATCTCTTGACAATAGCATTTTATCTAATTCAGATGATCTGAATTTGCACAAGGCTGTGCCTTGTCCCACAGAAAATAGCGATCTACCCGTGTCTCTGGCTACTGATGCTGCTTCACTTCCTAATAAAACCTGTGAAGTTGAAACCACAGAAGGGTACATGGCCCCATCTTGCAAACCGCAAATAGTGCCCGAAACTAATAACGATTCTGTTGCTAGCATAATAGATCCTCATGCTGACAAGTTGCAAGATGGTTCAGGAGCAGAAGATGTCAGTGAGCCGTCAAGGTCTGCACCTTGTACAGAAGGAGTTTTATTACTGTTGGAGCAAGCTGTTGAGAAAGGCAGTGCACTTGTTTTAGACAAAGAATTCTTGGATGATGACTGCATTTATCAAACCACAGTTGCCTTTGCTAAATCAGCTCCACCAGATCCTGTTTATAAGCTACCTAGACAGGTTGTGATTGTAAAAAGTGACAGGCAAGAAGGTTCTTTGGTGACAGAAGAAAGTACCAGTGTTAAAATTGAAGATGAAAAAATGGATAAAAGATCTAAAACTAGAAGAAAAGAAGAATTTGATGAGGGATTTCTGAATTTAGTGGTACCACGAGGAAGGGTAAACGTAGATAAACTTGCAATTCTGAAATGATACCACTTGGCGGTATCAGAAGTAGGTAAATTTGTTAGCAATGATATTATTTGTTACTTGTATAGGGAATAAATCATTATTGTTTGTTCTGTTATCACTGTCTATTGCATTGTCTTTGTTACTCTGTATATTCATAATTCCTATATTATCTTGATGTAGTTACCTCTACTGTTATTAAATTGTCATCTTGTATGATAATTCTCATTTCAGAAAAGAAATTAAATATACTTTTAGCCATATTTGAGGTGCCAATGTAACATGAGGAAGAGTGTTGTGCCACATAAATTTCAAATTAAAAAGACAAGAGGTACAATAAACCTTGAATATTGACCCTTTTTTTTTTTTTCTTCTAATTCCTTATTAAAACTCCATTTGTTTTTAATTTATTTATTTTTATCCACACGATATTCTAAAATTCATAACTAATGACTAATTTATATATGTGAAACATAATTATCTTTAGTTAAGCATTATTTGTTTTTAATTTTTAGAAGTAGACTTCCACTGTTCGTAATCATAATTATCTTATTTAACTTGAAAAAAATTGTGTCAAGTCAAAAATACATGTTCTATGTATCATTTTTTCCCTTAAAAGATACTTAAATACAACAACAAAGATGCTTTAATTGATGGTAATAAGTTGAGTACACATCATTTTTGTCAAATATTACTAAAAGTAAATACAATTTTTTTTATAAAAAAAACTTTAAAAAAATGAAAGAAGTCATTTTTATATAAAAACAAAAAAAATATATCATATTTAGACTTAAAAGAAATTTAGTCAGATCAATAAATATTTGAATATTTTTCAATCTTATGTCTTTTTCTTCATAAACAAGAGTTTGGGTATAAGTGAAGGACATTCATGATATTTAGTATCTTACAAAATCAAACACATTGATGTCTTCATGCAAATTAAAATTTCTAAGCAATAGCTTATGCTATAGTTCACTCTATTCAAATTGATATTCATTTTCTTTTCTAGAAAATAAAAATGCAAAACATTGAATAGGCAAGGAGACATGAAGAACAAAAAGAATTGCATAAGTCCATTTTTTTTTTTATACATAAACATAAGTATATTGAAGGCGAGTATATATGAGGAACTCCAATCCTTTTACAGAGTTAAAGCATCAATACATTGAAATTACTGAGAGGATTAATTATGAGATTTCAATATTTTATTTTAGATTAAGAATATTGTGTAATTTTTTTTATCATGGACATTGTTAGGCTTTTATATATTTTTAATCATTGTAATTTTGAGCTTTTGTTTGGCTTTTATGAGTATTCATGTGTGTTGTTTAGTTGGACCGTGGACTTCTTAGGAATAAACCTTAGTGGTTTGTAGGTTTATAATATAAATAGGTTAAATTTTGATATTTTAAGAAGTTTTGACTCATTTTGTAATAGAATAGTCTTTAGCCAGTAAGAGACTAAAGTTTTTGTGTGGAATCCTTGATTTTTTTCTTTGTGATAAATCCTCCCCAACTTATAAATTCTTTCAAGATTGTGGCATTATTCTTATCATTCTTTATCTCAGTTCTAATTTTTCTTTATAGCAGAAAAAGTGAAATTGAGGTCAAAAGTTGAAAACAAAAAATCATCCTTAAAGGATTTATAAGTTAAGGAGAATTTGTCACAAAGAATAAAAGTTATTTGATAAGAACAAAAAATTCAACACAAAAATCTTAGAGAAACTCTCTCGCTAGTTAAAGACTATTTTATAACAAAATGAGTCAAAAAAATTTACAATGTCAACATTTAACATATTTACATTATAGACTTAAAAATCATTAAGGTTCATTCTTAGAGGTGCACTAAAAATTTAATTAAGTTTCTAAACAACACAAATATAAAAGCACTCATAAAAATCCAAACAGAAGTCCAAAATTACAATCATTGAAAAATATAAAAATTCAACGAGATCCATTACAAAAATTAAACAAATAATTCTTATCTAAAATAAAAGTTTGAAAGTGAATGATATTCATCTTCCTTCCAAATTTTTAAATATATTTTTCCCCTTTCATAGGCCAAATAGAACATACAAATTCCTCAATTCTACAAAAAGATCATCTTCCTCCCATTAGTAAAAAGGTTAGTTGCTCCTTGAAGTCCATCTAAAAAATATATAATTAAAAGCATATATCAAAGAGAACAAACAATAAGAGCTAACAAACCACAATTAATAATTTTACTTGAAAATTAAAGGGAATGACAATCTTGTAAATATAAGAAGAGTTGTAGGATACACTCACCAAGTAATAACATATTACAAGGGCAAAAACAAGACATCAACATATAAAAAAAGACTTCAAATATATCAAAAGATGATATGACATGCAAAAAGGAGATAGAATTTAGTCCCTTATAATATTTTTTTTGTTTCAATTTAGTCCCACTTTAATTTTTTGTTTCAATTTGGTCTCCAATAATTTAAATTATTGCAATTTGGAACTTCCGTTCAAATGATTTAAACAGAGTTAACTGTTGGCCACGTGGATGTCAGGTGGATGCCACGTAGATGCGTAGATGGATGCCAAATTTCATGAATACACCTGGAACCAGAACGGTCCGTTCTGCTTGCACATGTTATGTGTTAATTTTGCAACTGGAACGGGCCGTTCCAAATGCAAATTTAACACAACATGAGTGCAGCAGAATGAGTTGTTCTGCTGTTAGAATGGGCCGTTCTGGATTCAGAACGGCCCGTTCTAGAACGCCAACTTCATGCTTTTTATTGTATTTTTTTATTATATATATTAATAAAAAAAATACAATAAATTAATATTCATTTATGAATAAAACTATAAAAAAAAGAATCAAATAAGATAAGACCTTCCAAAATCCTTCTTTGATTTGAACTTATCCAGTTCAAAATCTTGACCAAAATGCCACAACGTGATTCAAAAATTGAAAATAAAAATTCATAACATATCATAAATTCAAAGACAGAAACATGGTTCAGAAACTGAAAACAAAAATTCAGAACATAACATATACTAAAAAAGTTCAAAAAAATTACTAAGAAAGGAAATCATCTGGGTAACACTGAAGGGAAATCCTAAACCATAAAAATTCATGTTATACTTCCTCAAGAATAGGTTGTTATTGTTGGGGTACATCGTCAATAACTTTAAGGGGAAACACCGTTTCGTTTCATCCTTGACTGTATAGTGTCAAATTGGTAGTAAGTGGTTCACTCCAGTTTGACTAATAATGAAATAAACTCTGCTACCATTGTCCTTAGTGATACACTGCATCATCCTTAATGATACACTGTATAGCCCAAATGTTTAGTAATTGAAGTTATCAATCCTCATTGACAATATTACCAAATCTAGTATTTGAAATGCTTTGTACCTTATTTTTTTTTTAAAATTTTGGTTTTAGAACAGGTCGTTCTGGTTCCAGGTGTATTCAAGAAATTTGGGATCACATATTCATCTACGTGGCATCCATCTGGCATCCACGTGGCCACCAGTTAACTCCGTTTAAATCATTTGGACGGAAGTCCCAAATTGCAATAATTTAAATTATTAGGGACCAAATTGAAACAAAAAATTAAAGTGGGACTAAATTGAAACAAAAAATATTATAAGGGACCAAATAAGGGTTTTAACCTGATCCTTTTTATAGTGAAAAAAAATCAATTTATTTTTTAAATTGTTTTTTGTCAGCTCTTTATAACAAAAAATGAGTATTTATTATTTATATTAATTACAAGAAAAATATTTGTTATATAATAGGTTAATATTTTTTTAATCTTCATAATTTTACTTACTTGACCTTTTAATTCCTATAGTTTATAAACTTTTTTAGTCTTTATACTTATCTTTTTCAATCATTTTTTGGTCCCTATAATTTAAGATATATATTTTGTCTCTATATTTACAGTTTAGTCCTTATCATTTTTTTGTAAGGTTGTTTGTGTTAATGTGGTAGAGTTCCCCAATTTTGTGAGCAACAATGGGCATTGCAAATGATGATACAAAAGATACACAAAGCGTCGAGAAATTTAATTTAAAGTAACTCCAACAAAAAAAAAGAAATTCGACATCAAACAATACCTTTATCACGTCAACACAAAGGATAAAACATTTCAAAAAACAATTAGCAACATAGACTAAAATGATTAAAAATTACAAATATAGAGACTAAAGATTTATCTTAAACTATAAGGACTAAAGATGATTGAGAAAGATAAATATAGTGACTAAAAATCTATTTTCAAATATAACAATTATAAGGTAAAGTAAGTGAAACTATAAATAATAAAGAGTATTTTAACCTACATAATAAATATTATCTTTGTCCCATAATAAGTGTCTTGAAGGTAATATTCATAGAAATTATTATTGTGTTGCATCATTTCTAATAAAGAAGATTGAGAATAAGGTTAATTTTATAAAATTACAACTCTTTCTTCTATTTATTGATTTTTCTTAATCTATGTAAAAAAAATCTAAGATAACCCTTATTATGAGATGAAGAAAGTATTTATTTAATATTTATATGTGTTAAATATTCATTTATTATTTATACATAATAAATATGTATGTAACATTTAAACATAATAATTATTTATTTATTATTTACACGTAATAAATATTCATTTATTATACATTACAAAATTGAATAGCAATTTGGTGCTGTCAAATTTTCAAGGAAGATTGACTCCGTGTTTGATAGATAATTTTCCTTGGTAAATAAACAAAAAAAAATTAAATACCAACATGTCATTAATTTGAATAGAAATATATTTTAATCCCTTAAATAAGACTTCAATTTCAAGTCAATGTGTATTAAAAAGTATGATTAAGAAAAAATATCATATAAAAGATAGTCAATTAAATTCCTAAAAAAAAAATCTTCAACAAAATCTATAAATACTTTCAACTAATAATAATATCGCTAATGAAAAAATAATTAATAATGTGAAATTCAAACTATATATATGTTATTACTTTTACCTTCATTTTTTTTTATTTTACGTTATTTAACTTTTGCAAAAATTTAGAATTAAAAAGTATTTAATTTAATAATATGTGAATTGAGATAAACCTTATTCACTTGGAAAATGTTGAAAAGAATGATATATAAATCATTTAGAAGTGTAATTATGTGGTCTTTTATTGTTTTTGGTTGAACATATATATCATTTTCATCGGATAATCTTCTAAAAGTTAAAAGGTTTTCTTTCATAATATATATTATTGTAGCTGCATACTTAGAATTTGA